TATATAAGCGTCCATCTTGTTAATGTTCGCTGCGATCTAACAATTTATTACACTTCTGCATTTAGAGATATATGACAACCGAATGTATTACCAGATCTGCTTATATTGCAACTGCTAGATAATGGCGTTTTATGTGTACACCTTTGCGGCCGCCATAGTTCTTCTGGCAAGTAAAGATTATGATGATATTATAAGAAAACGAAAGTAAATCATAGCAGAAGAAATGTTTGCCTTTACTGATAATATCTTTTAGGTGACGGTGGAGGCGCAGTTTAACCTGAAATTCCCAGATTGTAAAGCGCTGGCGGAGGCCACAGCGACATCGGGTGAGCGTTGTTCTACGTCGCGGCTGTGGTCGAGGTGTACAGAAGTGGATGCCGTATTGGAATGCACGCCAGAATGTCCGCCAAACGTCTTCAAGGAATGTCACGACGGCGGTAGAACAGGGATGTATTTGGTAAGTGGATGTGCGCCTGGGATTGGGTGCGTGTTCGTGCATTTGTAAAGGTGGGTGGGTGTTTGTACACACGCGTGCGCGTGGGTGTGCGCGTGTGACCGCGGATGCGCACGTGTGCTTGGGCGTGGATTTATGTGCGCCTTGTGTACGTGCCCGCGTGCGTGTGCGCGCGTGCGTGCATGCATGCATGCGTACACGTGCTCACACTTGTGCTTCACACAGTGTTTACGTTCTCGGTTACACATACTATACGTTTGAATACTTGTGAAGAAACCGTAAACAAGGGACATGGTGTTTGAAGATTTCTATGCATACTAAATCTCGCTAGCTTGACTGCAAACTTTATTTAATGAATTTATTAATATTTTCACAGGTTACTGTGCACACTCGGGCTAACTGCAAATGTATCTTGAATGGAAATGAAATCCTGGTACCGGGATTTAGGACCCCGTATGGGGGCAGACCGCCGAGGATGTGCAATCCAGCGAATTGCAACTGTCCACCCGACGCTACGATTGTACAGGAAATCCTGTGTCCTTTCATAGGCATGAACAAGACTGTATAGACTACAGCCGCTATATGCCCGTGGCTGGAGCGGCATCTGGGCACTGGCGGACTGCTTTTGTGGAGAAAACTTAAATAAACAATAAATAACAACAGTATAACTTGTAATAATATAGTAATAAAGTATACATATCAATCCTAACAGACGTAAACAACCCATAAGAATTATAGCAAATTATAAAATAAGGTTATATTGTCGAGTCTTATTATATTCTCCATGTAGTTTATTACTTGAAACTTTTCACACACAAAAATTCTTTCGTCATTATTCAGTTGAGTCACGTACTCATGGCCCCAGGGTCTTTGTACAGGCTAGTCACCTAATAGGGCTGCTCTCACATTTGTGTTTCAAAACATAACTAGCTATAGGTTTGTCACGTTGATTGTGTTTATGAATGGTAGACATGCGAATATTTGTACTGAATGAATATTATTACTAAAAAATAAATGGTTTGATTATGATGAAAATCTTGATATAAATGTGCGATTTCTGTATATATAAATTCGTTTACCGGATACTTATAGACAGCGAGCAATTGTAGTTATTCTGGGCATGTTGTGATTGAATAAGCTAGTGTTTCCAACGAAACTTCATACCAAGCAAGTGCATATATGAACAAATGCACATTGAAGGATTACCTGCTTGTATACTAATTACACACCTGCTTGTACACTTATAAACTAGGGAACGATATCGATAGATACCTACATATGCTAATTGGTTAAAAGTCGGAAATAAAATGCATATCATTTACGTGACCACGTTCGTATTGCTGTTCTATATCTTACCTATCTATTATAATCATAAAATAATCTGCTAAAAAATACCCAATACTAATTCACTTTGAAATTATGATCGTATACATCTGATTAAACCGCTGACGCGCTGGTATTTTTGCTGTTCTTGTTTTTACGCAAGTAGGTTTTCTCTGCGTTATAATAAGTATATATAATATAATAATAATGATATATATACATATATATATCGATATATATTATAGGCTTATTTAGTAACTAACGGCGTTTTAGAAGATTTTATTTGTGGCTTTCCAGTTTAGTGACTTGAACGATTTGAAAGTGAAAAGAACAGTGCTGTGTGGTTGTATTTGCGCATCCGTGCTGCGTTGCTTAACTTAACTCCCTCATCCTTAGGTGAATTCCCGAATTAACTAAACTTACTCAATACCAGATTAGCCCTCGCAGAAACGGGTAACTCGAGTGTCAGAATATATAAATATTGCGTGGTAAAATATTAAGCTGTCAGTTTGTCTTCATCTCCCCTTTTTCTCCGAGAAATCATGCGCGCGAACCCTTTCATACTGGTTTTGTGTACTGACGGCGTTCGAGAGTGAACCGGATTGGGTGAGTGGTGCCGAAACCCTGCGCGTGATACAAGGTCGCCGACCTCGCCAAGATCATAGTAAAGCACAGTTCACTCCCTCTGTTAATGTCTTTGCTGACAGTTTCTAACAATCTTATTCATATGATCTGCATTCTAGAGATATACTGACCAACGAATGACTATTCTTCACACAGATTCTGCTTATATTTGGGCATACTTGCTAGTAATGGGTTTTATGTGTCACATTTTCGCGGGCCTGCCAATAGTTTTCTTCTGGTAAGTAAGATTATGATGATTATTATAAGAAAGAAAGTAACTCAATAGCAGAAGAATGGTTTTGCCTTTTACTGATAATATCTTTTAGGTGACGGTGGGAGGCGCAGTTTAACATGAAATTCCAGATTTGGTAGGAAGGTGGCGGAGGGCACAGCGAAATGCGGGTGAGGGTTTGTTCTACGTCCGCGCTGTGTCGAGGTGTACAGAAGTGGAATCCCAGAGGGGGTGGCTAGTTGGGAATGCACGATGTCCGCAAAGTTTCATAGGGAGGATGTAGCGACGGGCGGTAGACAGGGTGTATTTGTAAGTGGGATGTGCGGCCTGGAATGAGGTGTGTGTTTCGTCCGTTTGTTGAAGTGGGTGGGTGGGTGATGTGTAGCAGGAGCGTGCGCGCGGTGGTGGCGCGTGTGAGCGGCGCTGGGTGGGGCGTGAATTGCAGATGTTGAGGGTGTAGTGCCACGTGTGCGATGTGCGTGCGTGTTGCGTGCCGTGCTACTGGGTACACATCGTCCCACTTACCTTGTGCTTCACACAGTGTTCATCGCTCTCGTTTACACATATATAACTATACGTCGAATATCTTTGCGTTAAAGTTTGTGAAGAAAGCAAGCTATAGGGACATGTGTTGTGAAAGATCTTCTATGCAGTACTCAACTCTTGCTCGCTTGGACTGCAAACCTTTATTTCAATAAATTATAATCTCGGGG